TCCAGGAAAATGGTGTGTCTTTAACCATTAAATTATTGAGCGGCGTAGCGATGATCGAAAAACGCGGTATGTAGCGTCGGAAATATGATGCCGCTCCCAAGAAAGATTTGACTGCCTTCACGTTTTCTGGACGTGGGATATTGGCTATACTCGCTACCTTATTTGGGTTCGGGCGAGTGCCGTTTTTGCTTATGAGGACACCTAGGTACTGAACCTCTGTTTGAAAAAAAGAACATTTTTCTGGGGTCAGTTTCATTCCAAACGCCTTTATGCGTTGGAGCACTTCTCCTAAATCGCTAAGGTGCTGGTCCACCGATTGACTAGCGATTATTATATCATCTATATATGCGAAACAGCATGCTCGCAGTCCTCGTATTAGGCTGTTAGCCACCCGTTGAAAAGTTGCGGGTGCGCCTTTAAGACCTTGGGCCATCACAGTAAAGTGATATAATCCCAAAAAGGAGGAAAAGGCTGTACGTTCTTTATGTTTTTCCGTGAGAGGTATTTGAAAGAAACCGCTCTTGAAATCAAGAACTGTGTACAGCTCTTTACCACTTACTAAATCGAGGATATCCTGCATGTGTGGTATGCAGTATGTTTCTGTTTCAGTGATCGAATTAATTTGCCTGTAGTCCACCGTGAATCTCCATTGGTCTCGATTAGGACCTTTCTTAACTAGTACAATTGGGGACGCGAATTTGCTTGTGCTCGGTTCTATGATGTTTGTCCTGAGCATTTCCTTGATTTGCCTTTCAATTTCTTGACGTTTTTCTAAAGGAACCCGGTAGGGGCGTTGTTTCGGTATCTTAGAGTGTGGAATAAACTTAATGCTGTGGGTGATCGGACCATTGTACAAACCTAAATTACCATCATTGCCTACGAAGCATTGCTCATACTTATTGAGGAGAGCCTTAAATTTTTTAAGATGGTGAGGTTGTAGAATGGAATGGTTAAGTGTAATGCGATCAAAAATTGGTGTGGGTTGCGAGGAAAATGGAAAATGAGGTAAATCTTTTGCAAAGTCAGCCTCTGCTGGAATATATTCATTCATAACAGGGCCGATAATGTTGTTATCCGGGTTCACCGAAAAGATTGGTCTCCATGGTTCATTTATTCCCACCACCGTTGCTATTGCTATCTTGGTATTACTTGGTAAGGTGATGCAATTATGGTTGGAATTGAAGACTCTTACAACGACAGTTCCCGGAATGTTTGGGCACGATAGCGTTTTACCAACATACACACCTTTAGGAAGGTCGTGTGTTAGATCATCCGATGTGAAAAGTTCCCAATGTTGAGGGAATGAGACTTTGGTTGAACCCATAATAGCATGGTCGGTTGTTGGTTGAAGTGTGGTATTATTTGTGAGAAATACCGGTATGGAGAAATTGTAACCGTTTGTACTATTATTATTATCTTTGTTTATGATTGGTACGGTCGTTTTATCAAATAGAATGGTATTATTTTGATAGTTGATCGATAAATTGTGGGCAAATTTGGGTATAACGTCNAATAGCATGGTCGGTTGTTGGTTGAAGTGTGGTATTATTTGTGAGAAATACCGGTATGGAGAAATTATAACCGTTTGTACTATTATTATTATCTTTGGTTATGATTGGTACGGTTGTTTTATCAAATAGAATGGTATTATTTTGATAATTGATCGATAAATTGTGGGCAAATTTGGGTATAACGTCATTACCAAGGATGAACGGAGACGAACAAGCTGCGTCTGGTACAACAGAACAGTTTATTTCTGCTATTTTGTCGCCTATTTGTAAAGTGAGGAGAGATTCACCTAAAAATGTTATTGTAGTCCCATTGGCTGCAACAGCTTGTGTTGTTGCCGTGGGCTGGACTTGGGCTTTCGTTCTACGAGCTACTGCTTCTGATATGATTGTGAGGGCAGAGCCTGTATCCAAAAGAGCTATTATGGACATGCCGTTAAGTGTAGTCGGAATATAAATCATCGAACTACTGTGCTTATTTTGGATGCATGAGACACTTGGAAGGAAGTCATGGAATTGCTGTGACTTAGATTTGTGTGACTTGCGCTCGGCTGGATTGCGAGATGATGGTTCACTTGCAGATAGTGGTATATTATCCAGGGGTATATCTATTGGGGGAAGTTGTATGGAGACACTCATCCTTTCCCGACCTGTTGGGTCGTCAGCATTTCGGCGTTGCTTTTTAGCCGTTACAAGAGGTTGACTACTATTTGGGTTTGCCGAATCCTTGCGTGGGGTGCGAGAATTTCGCTTTGTGCAGATTGAGGCAAAAACAAAGGATATTGCTATAGCTAAGATTCTAAAAATCTTATTGATAATAGTGCGCATACAAAATGATTGACAATATAATATTGTCATTCCTATCAGTATGAGACTACCTATAGTAATGAGAACGATTGTTTTGACTAATTTATGCAAACCTAGGGCCTGTAGTATCTTATTCTTTTGAGACTGAATTATCTGTCCTGCATTCTTATCGAGGAATGTTAGTGACTGCCGTATTTCACTCTCCATATTTTCGGCCGTCAGGTCTGAACGACCTGATGGTGCCGTATGTGAAGAAGAAGAGTAAAGTCCGGTATTTAAACGATTCTTGATAAGGAAAATATCAGTTGAAATTCGCGCAAGGTCTGAATGGAAAATCGGTGGGGCATTAAAGATGAAATCTTGGCTTACGAAACCGTTGGGTAGATTCAAATGAATACTTGATACTGGAGTGTATCCGGAGGGTGACTTGTAGTGATTGTTGCCATCATTATAGATACCGAATGGCAAATGATTACAATCTGCTTGTGGACTAGTGGCAATAAGGTCACGCGTTCCTGGTTGGATAAAATAATGAACTTTCCCCACTCGCGCAGGTGTGAACGCGTAGCATGTGCCATCCACATTATGGTCAAGGAGGATTTCGTCTACCACTACTTCTCTGCATTTAGATACCATGAGCACATCTCCAGCTACGAGGGCAAACACGTCCTCTCTATTGAGGAGCATACGAGCCGCATTGGTTGGGTTTAAAAGTGACATACTTTTTATAGTTTGAATTTTGAAATTTGTAAGAGAGCAAATGCGGTCTAGCAAAAAGTTGAAGTCTTGTTGAATGATTTCCTCCATTTTCGTTTTAAGAAACTGCATCTTAGTATTGAGTTCGGCATGGTGGTTATCTTGGCGCTGCTCATGACCGAAAGATTGATCATTGTTCACAATAGTGAAATCTGGCTCTAGATTGGTGGCAATATGTTGGGCAACATTTAGCGACATGTTGGGTTGCATGCTGTAGAATGAGGACTGTTTAGTGTCTGGTTCTAAATCAGATTGCTTAGGCTTTCTTAAGAAAGTTGCTAAAGCTCTATGATTATTGAGACTTATGGTGGCTTTTACGTTAGCTCGCCTTTTTGCTGGTCCTAGTCCTCTTACCTGATAAAATTCCTTTGGAATTGGTTTATTTTGAAGAGTCTTGGTTGCATAACTATATAGCTTTTTGATATTGCGATTGAAAGGGTTATATGCCTGGTCTCCATTCTGAGGAAAGTTTTCATTTTCATTGTCCACGGCTCTACGTTTTAGAGTGGTTGTTGATGAGGATTTCTCCGTTACCTTATCTATTTGGGTGAGTGTATCCACAAACTGTATCAATTGTGAATTGTAGAAGTGTCGTTGATTAATGGAATCTACCACGTCTGGGTGGTCTTTGAAAATGGTGCGCGGATTGTAACCGTGAAGTTCTGGTAGAACTATAAACACGCCATTATCCATTGGAAGGGCGTTGGTGTCTAAGCACCATGCGCTCTTTTGGGAATTTGAAAATGATATATTCTTATATGTGAACGCTGATTGGATTTGGTTGAGCACTATGTGGGTCGGTGTTACGTAAGCAACTCCTTGGGTTGCCTGTACATATCGGCACAAAGGTGGGTTAGAAGATGGTTTCTTCCATATTACCGTTCCGTGGCTGATAAGACATTGCATTTTTGCAATGTTGCAGTGGGCCATATCTCCAAACTGGCCAATAAGGTGACTACCATCAAAAGTTGCGATTTCCCCTTTTTCAAAATATACATTGGTAGTGAGAGTGCACTTTTCGCCAAAAAACCATGGGTAGGAATAGTGGATTTGGTTATCAGATCCATACACGTTGGGTGATAGAGGATCCAAAGGAATGCCTTGATACTTTTTACTTTCTGTTAACGATCGACAGAGAGCGGGGTCAACTGAGGTCATAAATTCTTCGTCACTGTTAACGGAGAATGAAATGTGAAGATAGGAGGAGGCGCATATTCTCCTGGTTTTGTTAAAGCAGTGAAAAGCTGGAATTAAGAGTGGTTCAGTACGTTCAACATAAACGTCTGCAGATGTTACTAAGACATCCGAAGCATTGGGGGAACCAACGCAGGTCAGTGGATCCGGAAAAGCCACTGGCCATCCCGATTTTCCAGCTGCGCATAGTTGGTATTTTAAAGAGAATGAGGTTACTGGTGTTGCTAAAAACGCAATGATTGCCACAATAAAAAGAGGGGTACGGAGTGTGAGAAGTTTCGTGGTATTGCACGGAGAAATTGAATTTACCTCATGGCGGCGCGATGCCTGAGGACGTTGCACATTCCGTTCGCGCGATGGAGTACGCCTTTGATTTTGTCTAGGGCGGGGAAAAGGTGAAAATTTACGAGAGCGCTGTTGCTGTTGCCCTGAGTATTGCTCTCTAGGCTGGGGTGCAAATCGCACTGTATTGCGCGGAGGAGTTCTACTCCTTGAGCGGTAGGAATTATTGTTACGGAAGGAATTAAATTGTTTGTTTCCCTGGGGTCGCTGTTTATTTTGGTACCTTCGCCTTGGGTGGCGGTCGTACTGAGTCCTAGATGAACTTGCTTGCTTATGTGGGGTTAAAGCGTTCAGCACTTTATCAATTTTAGCTATAAGAAGATTATTACTCGAAGAGTTAGTTTCTGTATTTGTGAGGTTCCACATCCTTTCCGCATCGTGAACGAGTTGTTCATAGTTAGTGGGTAAAGGACCGAGAAGTTTTAACCGTTGTTTAATTGGATTTGATAAGGCGTTGGCAAAAATCATACCTTGAAGGAATTGTCTTTTGTCGGCTAAGTTAGAGCCGGGATATGCGTCTAAAATTTCTTTCCGTATTCTATTTGAGAATACTACTGGTGATTCACCAGGATACATTCGCATATCCATAAGTTTTTCGCGAGCCATATCAAGAAAATGGTCGGTTGAAAAGTGTTGTTTTAGCTTGATTATTGCTTTGCGCCAGTCACGTCTATCTACTTCTGGAAAGTTTTCGAAAACTGCCTTTGCCACTCCCGTTAAATGAGCTGGGAGGAGACGTACCATTTTATCTTCTGTAAGACCCATTATATTTCCTATTTCATTGAACTTTTCTAGGAAGTGCATTAATCCTGCACCTCCTCTTTCTCCAGAAAAAACTGGGAGTCTGGTTGCATAGGATGACAAACAAAGTTTGTCAAAAACAGAGTCGAGTCGGTCGGCGACATGGCCATCTGATGTGTCCATTATATCGTTTTCTTGGACTGCTGATTGCGGCCTAGATTCGAATGTTGATTCCGGAGTGGGTGGGATGTCAATAGGTGGATTTGGAGGAAGTGGGATACTATCTAAATCAATAGGTTGATTGTTATTATAGGATGAAGTATGTAAGTTCTGTTGGCTAGCGTAGGGTCGGTGTCGGAAAGCTTTTACGGTTTTTCTATTATCGCGCAAGACTACTTTCCTGTTATCAGTATTGATTACAGTGGTATAATTCAAAAGCTTGGGGTTTAGTTGTATGCAGATTCGATTAGTTTCTGGATGTGCGGTGGTGATGTACGGTCGAGAAGTTGTAGGTTGATCACTTTGATTACGAAAGCTGACTATTGGCTGAACCGATAAATCGCGGTCGGAGTTGCTACAGTTAGAAGATTCTAGAGAAATTACCGAAGAACTACTATAACCCGGGAGAGGTGCAGAAAGGCTTGGGTCGGGTGGTTCAGATTTTGAGCGCACGCGTTGGGGTCTTTCCTGAGAGTTAATATGTGAAGCAGATTCTTGTGATAGTATTTGTAAGTTTAGTTGTGAATTAGATTTCTGCTTTCGTGGAAGTTCAGGTACGCGAAATTTAGGGTTTCGCTTGACTGAGTATCTATTCTGAGCACGACGAAAAATGGGTGTTTCCTCCGGACTATTCAATAAGTCGGAGTCAGAACTACTCATAGAATATTAACCAAGAGATAGAAGAAAGAATTCAAGACAGCCAAGAGTATGCGTTTCGATATGATGATTGGTTAATGAGTTTATAGAATTATGAATTTTGTGTTTTTTTTTTTATGAATAAAGAAATACCTTCTGGGTTAGTGAAAAAAAAATAAAAAGAGCAAGAAAATTGTTAGTGAATTCACACAGAAAATACTCGCCCGACTACCGAAGTTGAAGTCGTTGTCGAAGCTGAAGTCGTTGCGTGCCACGAAAGTTGGTTGATGGAAGGTGAGGTTGAAGCTGGACCGCTCGAGGTGGTCGAATGGGAAGGATTCAGGGGGTCACCGGCTATATATATACCGGGGTTGCGTTGTAATATGGCTTCCGATTTGTTGTAATATTAAATCTCCTATCCTGGGTCTTTGGGATACATTAGTTTAATGTAGGTCACCTACAGCTGTTATTATACAGGTGACAGGTGTGAAGTTTACGGTATGCCACCGGAGATTATTCAAAATTTATTCATTCGGCTCCCCGATTGGGTTATCCCCAGTGATCCCCTTTTGAAAAGACATGTAGATAATATTGGTCATTTTCTCCATTTTCAGTGAAAAAATGGGTCCTTCTAGTCTTCTTTTTGATGCTCACATGGGTATTATGGGATACTGGGGCCTAAAGGGTGCCTATGATAACAAAAAAATGCGTTTGGGGGGATTTGAGCCGTTTATAGGGGAATTTAGCTTCCGTTTGGGTTATATTACCTTGGGAGTATGGTAGGGATCCCTTTTGAGCTAGTCTGGGCATATTATGAATAAAAAATAGAATGTAATTAACAAAATTAGTTATTTTATTCCCTTTTTATGATATTTGGGTGTCTGAGGGCTATATAGCCTCAAAAATATCTTTTGTGGCAACTCTCCATAATAATAGTCATGAAAATTGAGTTATTTAACCGAAGCGGATGTTTAAAATGGGAAAATCTCATTCTGGCTTGGGTTGCGCCATATACCCGTTTATTGGTGATATCATCATAGTAATTGGAAGGTGTTTTTGAGGTTTAATCATTTTAATAATTGGAGGGGATCGTAAATTACAACTTAAACTGTAGATTGCGCCATATACCCGTTTATCGGTAATATCATCATAGTAATTGGAAGATGTTTTCACAGTTTAACCATTTTAATAATTGGAGGGGATCGTGAATTACAACTTGAACTGTAGTTTGCGCCATGTAACTACTTATTGAATTAAATTTTCATGCGATGTTAAGGTGGAAAGCCTGTTAAATATTTAAATATGTTAGGATACGTACTGGATATTTGAATATAATGTAATAATTGTAGTTCCGGCGGATTCCTTCTGATCCGCAAATATCTCTGATTGTTGTCCTGAGGAATTATCTGTTGGAGAGGAGCGTGCGCAATATGATTTATGTGGACCATCCCGAGTTCCTGTGGCCTAATTGAGGGTTGGTTTCTGTTTCTCCGCCGTATACGTGTCGATCAAGCCCTATTTTACTACCAATAGCATCTGGTTCAGAAGGGGCAAAAGGGTATAAATAGGGGGTACGCCAGTTCATAGTATAAGTCTTCCCTTCTCTATGCCATTCCATCTGGTCACTCTCCAGCTTATTCTGATCTCCTTTTTTTTTTGTAATTGATGTCTATTCTTGCAGATATCTGAAGAAAAAAAAA